CCGGCCATCGACACCTGACGATGCTTCCCCTTGAACATCGGCCAGGTGTCTATATATACTGCCACACATTTCGATAACCGTTGCAATAGAGCAATACAATTAGGATTGTCAAAATTTCGGTCGTTAACGTCACGAGTTTAATTCTGCGCCCTTACGTCCATCCGAAGCCGTGCTTCATCGTTAAACGCTGAACGGAGCCGTGCTGCAACAATTGTAACTATTAACAATTCTGTTGCGCCCTGCGCAACGCGTTTTATACAAGTTTACGTGGACTGTGGAGTCCAAAAATAAATCAGCAAGCGACACGACGTCGGACTAAATCGTTTTCGTCTCCTTACGACCTCCGGCAATTATTTTGTGTCGTACGCAACATTCACCATCTTCTTCTATTGGTTGACTATTAAACTTCATTATTGGATAAGTTTCCTGAGTTTATAATTGGATCGTTGTTATTTTCTTCTGGTAAGTTCTTTTTAGAATCTTTAGATGTAGAGTTTGTATAAACCCAATCATATACCTCACTTCTTATAGAAGCGTTTACGAGTTCTGCATCCTCAGATTTTTTATTGGAATCATTTGTTAGTAACTTCAATAAATCATCAAAAAACATTCCAGATTTAACATTGGGTTTCTTCAGCTTAACATCCGCTAAATCATTTTCATTGAGCTCTCCAATCATAAGCATCCCCTTAAACGAGTAAATATCTTTATGTGTCTCTTCTCCGCCAAAACAATTATATCTTTTAATTGTTCGAAAGGTACTGTTTGTGTACTTGGAACAGCAGTACAAAGCTTCCAGTCGGTTTCTCCATCAAGTTGATCGGTTCTAAGAAATATTTGCCCCGTTATGTCCAGATGTCTTAAGAAGAACCATATCAGCAGGAATTCTCTCATCTTTCTCTAAAGATATTATGTCCCCAACTTTAATATCTGAGCTATGAACACGTTTAAATCCCTCATCTTCAGTATATTTTATATAGAATTGATTGTTTATAAAACAATCTCTAATGTATCTTCTGTAATCATTATAAGATTCTTTAAACAAACATGCAATAAAAACCATTATCCAAGGACCAAGAGATGAAATTGGTGAGAATATTCTAAACCTGTCAAAGCATTGTGTAACTGATATTACAAAAAAGTAAGTGTCAAAAAAGAATTTGAACTACTGAAGAAGAATCCAGAATGGTGGTGTGTACCAACAGTAATTTTGATTGCATACTGCATTATTTTCCTGGCATACCCTTTGAGATGATTTGAGTTTTTTTAAAAATAAAGGAGAAAAGCAACAAATAAAAAACAAGATTCTATTTTTTATTTATTTAAAATAAAATATAATCTTTCTAAAATATATTACTATTTGTTCTTCTAAATAAAACATTTATATTCATTTCTTATTCTTTGAAGAATAATAAACTGTAAGCCTTTTTTACTTATTAATTTTGAATTTTAGAATAATAGCAAAGTTCTTATGGATAACATTTAAAAAATGTTTTACCTAATAAAGAAATTTAAGTGTCTAATTTTCAGAAAAAAGAGACGTTTACCATTATACTTTAAAACTTTATGATAGAAAATGTTTTTTTAAAAAATAATGTTTTTACTGTCAAACAGAGATGTTTATTTTAAAAATAGTGTTTTTACTGTCAAACAGAGTATCATGTTAGTATTGAAAACAACAGCGGATTAAAAATATTTAAAACACGTCATAATTTTCAATATCAGTGCAAAACGCTATAAAAAATTAACAAAATTTAATGGTCTGTTAAAATTAATAGAATTAAAAACTTAAAACAATTTTATTATTTTGCTGAAAATAGAAACATATCAAGTAAAACTTATAGTATTCTACTAAAAAAAGGGAATAAATAATAAAGTAAACCAGCAAGCAATTTATGTTATACTAAATGAGAAATCTCTCTTGAAAATTGTATTTATGTGTAAATATTGGCCTTCTTGTTATTCTTAATGTTCATGTATAAAATACTATGCAAATTTTTCGATTTTGTAATTTATATAATGATACAAAGAAAGGGTTAAAAACTGTGAAGTAAAACAAAAAATAATTTAAATCTTAAAGAGATATTTAAGGCCTTTAATTATATATACAATATAGATTTAAAAAAGCTCTTTACAGATACCGTATTATAATTATTTTAACAATCACTTTTCCAAAATATTTTTTTTTATTTTAGCTGTAAAATTTATAAATAACAGTTTAATAAAAAAACAAAAACTTAACCCTTTTCTATGTTAGAACGAGATTATCATTGAAATTTTGATGTTAATATATAAAAACAAGTTTATGTTCTACTTTTACTATTTTTTATAATGTTCAGATACATTTTTTATAATGTAATAATAAACAGGATTATTACATATATATTTGTTTAAAATTATTTATTTAAAAAAAAAACTTACAAACCGCTTACGATTAATCGATAAGGCTGCTTTAAATACATAAAGAAAAACATTTTACTTTAAATACATATCAAAACATTAAAATTATTCTTTTGGTTGTAGTGAGTCGTAATTTCATATTATTTTGAGTTTAAAATTAAAAGATTTTTAACTAAATTAAATTTTTAATACCGAATATTGAACCGGTTAATATCTATAAATGTTATTAATGAGCGGTTTAAATGAACAAAATATAAAAATACAACATGTTCGACAATTAAGCTTAAAAGTTAATTTTCCAAAATATTTTATAAATTTGAAGGTTCGACAGAAAAAACTAGTCTATTGAATATACTAAAAAAATGTAAGGTAAACAGTCAAATAAAACAAGTAGATTCATTTTCCCCTGTAGTGATATCATCTTAGTCAATAAACCAGAAGGTATAAATGTTATATTAGATAATTTGTATATTGGAATTAAAAAAAACAAAATTCCTACATTTGCACATAATAAAAAATATTACTAAGAATGGTTATGAACTATAATGAACTAATAAACATGTATGCAGCAAAATGTGATATAATTTGTACATAAAATTTTCTATAAACACTGTAACTATTTATTTCGTTTGAAGACAATTTAAACAAGACATAGGAGAACTTAATTCAATTTATAAAAAAACATCAAAAAGCGTTTTTTAACTATTCTAAATACACTTAATAACAAAACTAATCTTTTCATAATACAAAACTATCGTAAAAAGTAAATATATATTTGAATCATTTTTCAAGGTAGAGAGAGGTTTTTATATGGCATTCACATATATGGCATTATCGAAAACATGAGTGGCTTCGTGTGACCCTCGTGTTAGGGTAGTAAAAGATTTGCTTTTCTCTCGTAATCTGGTGACCGGAACTTAGCTTCTCACCTATGTAATCACTCACACGATAATCTGCCAAGATGCCAGATGCCGAGATAAAATTCTTAAATATCTATACGTACTACTAACTCCAGTATCTTGCCTCTGTGATGTTAAATTTAATATTTCCCACGCCGTCGTGCAGCAATTTTTTATATCCCACTTTTTTTGTCTCTTATTAGTCTGCTTATTTCAACAGATATCAAAGTATAAATACTCCACCTGTGGCAAACAAGTGAAGCTCTCAAACTCTAAAATGATCGAACAATGGAAACTTTGTAAATAATTAGATTCTGTTAAAATTCTTGCCCTCCAAATTCATCCTCAAAGATTGAAAATTTCTCCCTCAAAATTCAGTTTTATTGTAGGACACACTTGCATTATAAAAGATGGAAATGGAAAAATTCTAAGGTAATATCTTCGCTTGTAAATTTCAATAGGTTTGAACAGATATAAAAATCCGTAGGGTGTGTTAAGTAAATATATCGAGTATATCAATAATATTTCTTTATTTCCTTTAATCAATATTGCTGTTTGTATAACTGAAAACTCGATGCTCATCGAGATATTTGAGAGCCTTTCTAAAAACGCATTACCGCACCACGTGCGATAACATCAAAAATCCAGTATCTTTCGCTTAAAATAGACTTGTTTCATTTATTTCCCCAGCCCCGTAAACCTTTAACGAATCCTGCGAGTCCAGCCTGGCCGCCCTTCTTGGCTTGATCTCCCAATTTCTCCCTCAAATCCAGAAACTCGACCATGTTGCAGGCCAAGTCTAAGAACAACGGTTTGCAAGGGATAGGCTGCATGGATGATGCTATTAGTTTATAATTGAAAAATACTTTTTATTTCAATCGTTTTTTGTAAGCAGTCCAAAGTTCCTTCNTATTAGCTTATAATTGGAAAATACTTTTTATTTAAATCGTTTCTTGTAAGCAGTCCAAAGTTCCTTCTTATATTCCAACGCGGCAGCTAACTTGTCTTTTGCCTCGGTGATACCTCTACCAACAACAGCTAAATCTGCTCCAGATTTTACAACAGATTCTGGAGTATTGTACTGTTGACCGAAATTGTCGGAACTTTGGCCGAGCTTCACTCCAGGGGTCAGCTGAACGAGACCTGGATTCGTGAATATATTCGACTGACATACGATGCCAGCGATTATGTTCGAATTTTGTGCGGTCGACACTGCATGCTGAACGTACTCGTCATTTGTTAACGCGCCTTCAGAGGACATCTGCGCCAATATAAAAATACCACGCGGTTCGTTAACATTTCCTAACGCATTTCTTAATCCATCTACAATGCTCTTTCCTGCTATCGCATGCACAGTAACAATATCTGTCCATTCTGCAATTTTGTAAATACCCTTTTGGTATTGCAAAGACACCGTGTTGCCGATATCCGCGAACTTCCGGTCCTCCATTAAAAGAAAATCGTGCTTCTTAGCCAAATCTTGCAAACGCTTTATAAAATCACAGCTGAAGTCTTCTACTATATCTACGTGCGTTTTTAGTACCACAATGTGTGGTCCTACCAAATTTACTAATTGTAAAATAGAGTCTGCTTTGGTCAAGTCTGCTGCCAAGCACAAAGTAGATTGTTTTGTTTCCATTAGATTGAATATTTTAGATGCAATCTCGTTTGTAGCCTTATTAGCGCGACAGTAAAATGGTATTTTCAGTCTGCATTCTGGAACTTTAAAAGAAGCTATTTAATATTCTATGAAGCAGAAAATGATGCAGCGTAAAATGTTATTTACCTTGATTAACGATAACAGGAGCTTGACATAGCGACAAGTAGTTTAGTACATCTTTTCTTATCGTTGGTGTAATCTTGTCGCCTTCCACGAGGTAAGCCTGGTGAGACTGGTGACCGAGTACAAACTCCACATGTTTATACCATTAGCTTCAATATTCTTTCTGCCACCCTGTTCTCTGTCAATCACTACAAGAGCATCTGTTACCTTCAAACCCTCTTTTCTTAAAGTTTGTACAGTCTCTAGGATACTGCTACCGCTAGTGACTACATCCTCAATGATCACACAATTATCTCCTAATTTAAAATGGCCTTCTATCATTTTCTTTGTGCCACATGCCTCTTCCTCTTTTCTTTTGATTCACATGGGGATATTAAAATCGACAGATATCAAAGTAGCTAATGGTAAAACAGTGTAAGGTGCACCACAGATCTCGGATATGTTTTCACGGGTGAGAAGCTAGCGTTCCGATCACGCAGTGCCAGAAAACCTAATCCTACAACTTTAACGTCAGACGATATTAATCTGTACTTATTTCATAATTTATTTTTTAT